GAGCTTTCGCGCCCAACAGGTTCGGTTCGGTTCTTTACATTGAAAAAATTATAAAAAAAATAATGTATAAAATTACTTGTCAAGTTGAAAAAAGACAAAAAAAAAAAAATAGAATATAAAATCGCTTGTCATTCTTGTAATTTAACAATATAAAAAATCAATTTAACAAGGCTACAAATAAAATTCATTCCAAAGCACAAAATCAAACAAAAGCTATAAAAAGGATACACTATTAAACACAGCATAAGCGGTAAAATTTTGATTGAAAATCAATTCATAAAAAAATTCATATAATAATAATTTGATTATCTTCAATAATTCTTTAGGATCTTGATTCTTGATAGTTGGCCACTTTGAAAACAACGAGAAATTTGAATTCTAATGAAATACTGAACTAAAAATATATTTTTCTTAGTGGATTGCGTTGAGACTATGAATTTATAAAATTATTTAATTTTGAATTTTGATTACACATTAAAGGAAAGAAGAAGTGTATAGAAAATGAAATTTTAACATGACATAATTTTAGGTCTATTGTTCAAAGATTTAGTGCATCTTAATGTAAACAAAAAGAGACATTTGAGTGAATTAAATTCTCTATGATTTTCACGGCAGAATCAAGAATCGGAACCAAACTGACTGGTTTTATTTGGTTCCGGTCTGATTTCCAAAACCAGTGCCCACCCCTATAAAATATGATTCATATTATTATGAATGTGGGTATTGTGGGGTTCATTTCTACTACAATTGAACAAACATTTGTGCGTTGATTTGTAATTAAGAGAAGCCAAAAAATGAGAGATTGTTGGAAGAATATGTTTTGAATTTTTATTTATTTATTTATTTTTGGCTTTATTAATTAAATCAATTCAAAATTTCTAGGTGCGTAATTTTGAGAAGTCTAGAAAAATCTCGTACGCAATGTTGATTAAATCAATTGGCTTGTGTTTAGTGAGTTAGAGGGTTCATATAGGGTCAGATGATTTGTATATTGTTTCAAATTCACGTGACTCATAAATTTACCATATTAGTAAATTAGAATTCTATCTTCATAAATATTTTTTTCCAATTAGCATGTATACTTATACAAGCATAATTTAAAAATAGTGAACTTTTTCTACATAACTCATTTTAAACCTATATGAAGTAAATTGTATTTAGAACCCATGCGTGAAAAGTGCCACTAATTTCCTATAAGTAAGACTCAAAACCTTAAATTTGTAATGGACATGCATAATAATTAACTGGTGAATGAATATTTCCTCAAAGTATGAATGTCAAATCCAGCATTAGAAGAACCTTTTAATCAATATAGCTCATATTTAATTTTTCGTTGTATAACTTTTCTTTACCCCCATCTACGAGCATACACAATTTTTTTCTATATTATGTGCAGATTTTTCTTCTTTATGATAACTAGTAGGCTTAATTACTCAAGCTGTAAGTGCTACGAAGAAAAGTATAAGATGTATCTCATTTTTCTATGAAATTTAAATCTTCTTATTTTTGAAGAATTTACAAGAACTTAAGTCAATTAGTTAAAGGTTAATTCATATTCAAGATCTCCTCACCACACCCATGACTGTCATTCTAAATCTCATACATGCGGTCAAAATTTATTTACAAGACCTTAATATGTGGGATACGGATGATACACGAAGAAACCTATACCAAGTGTTCCAAATAAGTTCTAAACACAGGTAATGAAAACGCACCATTCATTAATTTTTCCAATACTTGATCACAAAATAACATATCCAAGGAAATCACTTTGAAACATTGTAATCATTAAAAATCCCTTTTTCCTTATCATTTTTTTTACAATAATAGAAAAAAATAGTACAAAACAAATGAGACAAGGAAAAAAATTAGAATGCATGCATGAATATGTAAATATTATAAATAGTGCATATGTATGCACCTAAAGACCTAATCAATAAGGAACAGAAGTGCTCTTACCTTTAAGAGCAACATGAGCAAGATCGCAACACTTTGACTAAAGAGTTTACTCTTTTTGACCCAAATATTTTTAGAAGAAGAATAATTTTGGTCAAATAACTCATCATATGAGTGAAGTGACTCATTTTATTAGTGAAGAATCTAACTTTGAGTAGTGTGATCTTTTTCTCCCCTAACCAAGGGCTTATAGCATTTAGGTCTTATGAGACCTAACATACTACAATTATGACAAGTGGTAATGAATCTAGGAGTAGTTCTACGTCTCAAGCTTTGAGCCTTAGGTTGAGAAAACCTATGTTGCACAGTTGACCAAGGTCCTTGGACTAATACACTCTTGGTCTTGATAGAGACAAGTACAACCTTGTTTCAAGAAGAAAAATCAGTATGTAATTTTGTTTTGTTAAAGCCTTAACCTTTCTATTCCAAGTTGGTTTATTCAAACCTAACATCTTGTCAAGCTTCTTAGAACCACTGGAAAAAAATTGAAGCTGTGAACTAGATTTCTCAAAATCACTAATAAGAGTCTTAGCCTTAATTTCTAAGGACTCTTTCACGAAAAAATAAAAAAAAAAAATAAAAAAAATTAGTAAAATCCCCAAGTTTGATCACTAAACTCTCATTTTCTAACTCAAGATCATGCAATTTCTTAAAAGCAGAGCTATTAAGCTTCTTCAGCTTAAAGCTCTCTACATATAGCTGGTCGAATCCTAATTCTTCATTAGAAGAGACAGATTGCTCTATGTTCTCAAGTGTCTGACTCTCCTCTCCCTTATGGTTTCACTCTTAACCATGGAGGTAGCACCATATAATTTCCTTCCTCATCAGGAATAGATTTCCTACTTTAATTATCGAAGCTGGACTCAATCATCAATGAAAGTGATGTTCATAGCCTTACCTTGTTTTCTTATATCTTGGGCACTCGGACTAACATGTCCAAAACTCGGCGCTTATGACACCTTATAGATTGAGACCTCTTACATACATCCTTAGGAACTCTCTTCTCTCTTTTATCGTTCCTATTTTTACTTCTCCCATTATTCCTCTTTTTTTTTTTTTTTCCTTAGCAAGGTAGGCAAGCTCCTCATTCTTTAGGGTGTCATTACCGGTCTTATCACTAGTCTTAGCTAATTCATCCTTAGCCCAAGTATAGATATTAGTAGGTGTAACAACACTAGCAACAATGGTAGATGGGACGGTCTAACCCTTTTCTACACTAATTCAAACTCACTCATCCACAGGTTTTAAGAAGGCTCTCATTCTGACCTTCTAGTAAGCATAAGTACTACCATTAAAATAAGGAGGAACGAAAGTTGGTTGACTCATCTAAGCAAAATTGGGTCATGGATCACAAATAAGCTCCAATGCCAATTGAAATAACATAGTCAAATGACGTTTAGACCCAACTACATCTAAAGGAGTATAGTGTTGATTTCAATTAGTCAATAAAAAGCAACAAGCCACTTATTTATTGTTTCTAGATGATTAAGTTAAAAGTCAATTTAAACCATGTGTCAATCGTGCGATATAGATCAAAAGAAATAAAATTAAAAAACACCAATTTTGGTAACGAAGGAGAACTCATTGAAGAACGCTTCACAGGGATCAAAAAGAGCCACTAGAAAAGATAACTTACAATTGGTTCAGAAACAACTAAGTCTTGGTATTGATCACCCAACCTGTATATAGCTTAATAACCTCTTCGATTGTGCAACCTGCATTTTTCAAAACTTTGGATTTCTTTTCCCTCCGCGTGAATTACCAAGATCGAACCTCATTCCGAAAAAAAAAGAACTCCAACTATCTCTTCCTAACTTCAAAACTCTAAAAGCTTATTACAGAATGTAAAGATTTTTGGTGTTCGATCTATTGATCATTTGTGTGTTGATCGTAGGGTTGATCAAGACAATTATAGAATATATTCTTGATTTTCAATAATATGTTCTCTTATATGAAATAATGATTCAACGTACTTCTGGAGCGGACTCTGCTTTGGTATTTATAATATAAAGTGTTTGAGGTTGAATATGATTGAAAAACTATTGAAATTGAGAACAGGACTATGCTCGAATAACACAGTCTCTTCAGTGCCCAAGGTGTGGCCAGCAAGCAGCGAGACTTCTAAAAAGATGCTCAAGCACACTTCTAATAGGTAGCGAGTGATTTTGAGCCTACTTTTTCTCCTTGGTGACATCTTTGACTTCTTTAAAACCTATACTTCCAACTTTCGACTCTTTTGACTTTAATTGTAACTCAATAACTATGATTTTAAACATGAAATAACCAATTACAATTTGGACCTATCAAATATATTGTGATTGATTGCTTTAAAAAAAACCAATTTATTCTTAGTTAAGTAAGTCACGCCTTCACTAAGACTCCTAGTTCTCCCTCTATCTATCTCTACTCATTCTCTAAATCATAAAAGAATCCCATGATGTTATAAGAAATTAGTTTTTAAAGTTCGTGAGATAAGGTTTTATTGAGTAGGATTCAACTTAAGTTTGAGTAATTCTCATCGGAAATTTTTTTGAACTAGTCTACTAATCAAAATATAAATTTTCTCCAGCAAAAAAATTTCTTAAATATGTCCATTTAGTTATCCAAATTACTGACCCTTACATTAAAATTAAAAGATGCTAAATATATTAGCACCACAATTTTTAATAATTCGACTACATTTTAATTGTATAAAAGGTTCATAGTATTTATACATAAGAATAATTCTACTTATACATAATTATTGCACATAATGGTGTCCATAATATGATGTGACAATTATTCGATTGTTGGATCCAGTGCCACATGTAATTATGGACACAATTATGTAGACAATTATGTATATATAGCACTTCCCTTATACATAATCACATTTATGTCTTTTTTTTTATAGAATTATTATTATCAAAATTAACATAAGTGATCTTGATTATGATTTCTCTCCAAAATTTTCTTTAATATAAGAGTAAAAAGCCTTATTTGCTCATTGCATTTTAAATAGGCAAAATAAATAATAATGCAAAAATACGATTAAATATTTGATCCTCATTTTAAAGTATGTTAATATTATTTTGGACAAAAATCATGATTAATGACAATTTTCTTGTCAATAAAATGTCAAAAATAGAATATGGTGAAAGAAAAAAAAGTAAAAAGGTACAAGTGTAATAAAAAAAAAATGTGATGTGAATGTTACTACTTATTATGATGTCCTCTAGGGAAATCTAGGAAAATTTGACGAGGACCATCAGAGTAGACTCTAACTCTCGTTTAACTTTGTTGAGTTCGATGAGAATACTTGAATAATTCGAAATGCGTGAAAGAAGTATTTGCACCAGTAACTGCAACAAAACTTTTACATAACTTTAATCTCTCAGCACAAATATATATAAGATCTCTTGGCACAATTATTATGTTAGAGATGATACTTCTTCGAAATATATTTTAATTTCTTGACACACGGAAATGAAAATTCCTGATTTACCAACTATCGGAGTCAAAAGTTATGATGAATGAATTCCATAAATCTTAGCAAGTTCTTCCTGAAGCTTGTGTATATCTGCCTCGGCCTGTTTCCTTTCTTCATCACCACTGGCAGAATTCAAAATCTCATTTTTCTCCAATATTTTCTTCTTTATACTTTTAACCTGCAAATCAACCAACGACATGTTTCAGAATAAAAAAACTTTCAATAATGAGAGAGAGGGGTGGCCATGGGGGATTCGGGGAAGGTAGAAACCTTTCTGTAAGGCCACCTTGGCAAGCCGTCCCTGCGGCATATCTTCTTCATCACTGTGGGACATACATTCAATTTCCTGGCTGCATCTTCAATCGGATGATCAAAATATCCTATAACATCCTTCAATTTCATGTTTCCTGTTCTTACCCTCTGCACTATTCATCATACAAATTACAATATTTACTCATGAAATGGAAGTTTAGTTTACTAAAGAATAGACGAAACGGATAGTATATTTCCCACGAAAAGTAATCTATGGCAGAAAATACATCCCTAAACTGATGAAGTTTATACTATATTCTGCATGATAATGTAACAATGTGTGCATTTATCTGAATTCATCGTTCAGATAAACGGTTAATGAGTTAAAAAGTTTGCCAGATATCTAGAAGCTGACGGAGTTGGAATAGGAACCAGGATTTAGTGGATTGGGTAATATTGATAAGCCATAATCATGTCAATTATCACTGCAGGAATGCTACTTATACGATTTTTTGTATAGATGGATTTACTCGTACTGATATGACAGAATTTAATTGGTTGGTTTAACTTTGTTTTTTGTCCGAACTTCAATGAAATCTTGCCTACTGGCATTTTGTAACCAGTCTATAAAAAAGTCTGTACATGTAGCATTTCTTTTATCACCAATCGTTTAAATTTGAAACGAAAATGGGATGGCCAAACCTGCGCTGCAAGGGGGGTCTTTGTAGATTGCTCTATATTTATTTCTGCTTTACGTTGCATCGACATTTCTTGTTGATTCATTTGGTAATCACCTGTATTACAACATAAGACTACTAACTATGATAACAATCGACATGTGAGAAAATTGAAGGAAAAAAGGCATTCATGGCATATTAAATTTACATTTTAGAACCAAGAGATTTCGACTAACCTGGATTATCTGGAGATAATTGTATAAAATCATCAAAACTCTCAGTGTCATTCACTCCAACACACAGGGCTTCATAGAAAGTCGAGAGAGGATCTTGCAACATAACGTAGCCTTCTTGTTTACATTCTTCGTAATACTGAACTAGAAACTCTTTCACACTATGGATACTTTTCGTGCAAAAACTATAAATACAATGAGAAAATGAAAACTTAAACTTCTCGATAATCAACAACTAAATGATGCATATTAATTTGAAAGAACTTACTCGAACACTTTGAACTCATGGTTCTGAAAAGATAGATCACTATCATATTTCTCCAGAATAGCATGAATCACCATTCCAACTCTTCCATGAATCTCAAGCCTTTTCATGCTTATACCTATCAAAATATACAAAATGAGTTATACGAATCTATTCCAATTGAAACGTACAAAACTTGTAAAGATGATGATGATGATGATAAATCAACCCATTTTCAATTTACATCTACACACCATTAGTACGAGTAATTTCTCAAAGTCTTTGAACAACAAGAAGTGCAGCATTCGAAGAGAAAAAAATCACAGAAAATATTTAAATATCAGTTTACTTGGACACACCGTTAACATGAGTAATTTCACGAAGTCTTTGACAACAAATGCAATTATCAGCAGATCGAAAAACCGGAGAATCTGAAAGTTGCATAGGACGTGCAGAATCTGAATTTTGTATATTTCTGTCAACATTATTTCCATTCTCAAGGCTATTTCTTCCTCCTTGAAATTCAGAGGGTTCAGCCAGATAACTTGAAACCAGATTCTCATCATTCTTGTAACCAAAGTCCCAAACAACTGGATCCATAAATGGATCATTGGCATCAACAATGTCATTGAATCCAGTAGGCGGTTCGCAATCATGATATTCAGGAAGACCGAGAGTCGGGTTTTCTACTAAAAACGATGACTGATCAATGAAAGTAATATCATCGCCAGGATCATGATAAGGAACAATGGCAGTCAAGTCTGCCATTGCGACTTCTCTTGGCGGTGGATGAAACAGTAGTGGGGGTGGCGACGCCTGGTGCGGACCAAGCGTCGCCAGATTGGTGACAGAGAAGGGCAAGTTATGGGACAAGTATGATTTTAGTGCAAAATATGGGAGGAAAAAAATGAAAGAGGGAGGGAGAGATGGCAGTTTATGACTGTTGGGAAAAGCGGTTAATGTTTTGAATATAGGCAGTAAATTTAAAGTACAAAATAATTATGACAAAAATAAAAAATAATAAAATGAAAAAAGAGAAAAACAAAATATAGGGCTGGTAAAATTCCTACAACAAAGGAGAAAACGTATTTTTGATATTTTCTATATACAAGTTATAGGATTCTTTTGATAAGAGTAGATTTTAAACACTAGTTAACCCCTCGAATGTGCATTAGTTGGTGAATCGACTTGAAACTAAATAATTATTTTGTGACTATGATATAAAAATGCACAATTGTTTCATGAGGAAATTAGGCTTGTACTTTTTTTTTAGATGACATTTTGAAAAATCTGGTTTTTTAAAAAATTTGTTAAAAAAATAACCTCTGAAAATTATAATGATTGTAACTTGACCTTTTTTGAATAAAAAATTACAATAATTGTAACTTTCATTATTGTAGCACCATGAGAAGTAATGATAGTTAATTAAATATCTGCTCACAAACATTTAGGTTCGATTACTACTTGTTCATCCTAAAATAAAATATTAGCGACTGCTCACTCATTTTTACAAAGAGTTATTCATCCATCACCCGATTGCTTCCATCTGCCTACCTGGACAAAAAAAATGACACGTGGCGGATGAAAATCTTACGTGTCAATTAATCCCCATTAAGTTTTGCCATCTGGGATCTATTCATGCTAATTATTTTTTATTGTTCATTGACGGTTTCGGCATAGCTTCTATTCATTTGATGCACAAATTTGATAAATCTATTTAACCCAAAGGCAGAAAATCGTGAGTCCTATTCTGAGTTCACATTATTTCTCCTTAATTACACATGGAAAAGAAAAGATATTTATTTACTCTGATGCTGTAATTTGTGTGTTCGTTCCTCAGCAGAATTTGATAACCTATTCAACAAAACGGCAAGAAAAAATTGAGTCCAATTCTGAGTTCACATTACAAGAAAGTTCTAACTACAATTTCAATGAAAAGAACAAAAAATAATAATAAATAAATAGAAAAGAAAAGAAAAGAAAAAATAGAAAAAAAGATGATTAATTTAGAGCTCAAATGATGCAATTACAAGTTGCCTGAAATCTGGACTTTTGTATCATCTTCACATTCCAGTAGAGTTTGTACCACAGAAGCAATTGTTAGAGGAGAATAAATGGGTCAGTTCTGTAAGGGAAGAGAAGAATTTGGGATGAATGAAGTGAAGAAATGGGATTTTCAATTTAATGGGAAATACATGGGTGCAAATCCCAGGTGGCAAAACTTAACGGGCTTAATTGACAACTAAGATTTTCATCTGCCATGTGTAATTTTTTTGTCCAGGTAGACGGATGGAAGCAATCGGCTGATGGATTGATAACTCTTTGTAAAAGTGAGTGAGCAGTCGGTAATATTTTATTTTAAGGTGAGCAAGTAGTAACCGGAGCTAAATGTCACTGAGCAGGGATTTAATTAACTCTTATAATGATTGTCGTTAAAATTCCCCCTCGTTTCAATTACATCTTTTAATGAAAGGCACTACACGTACAGACCGGAAGATTACAAGGCCTTTATAGACACACACAATCAGGAGTGGGGTGGATATTTTTGGGGTAATTTTTTAATAAGGCGGGTCCGCCCACATGTGAGTAATTTGTATGTTTTATGTGAAATATGGCTCTGTATTTAGCTTTAATCTCTTTTAACGGGTACGATCATTCCAAGGTGGTCTTATTCATTTTGACACTACTATCATTGAATGCCAAAGGTTTCTCTAAATAAGGAGTGGAATTAGTCTTCTACTTATTTTATTTTTGCAATTGCCTTCTCTGCCTTTTCAAATTAGCTATAGCCCATAAATACATTAACCTTAGTGTCAATGGTAGCATTGACGATTACAAGTTCGAATAATAATCCACGCAGGGCATGCAATGGTGTTGTTGTCGAGCTACCATAATCAAGCATGAACTCTAGGAACTAGGAAGTGGAAGCCATAGAGAGAAATGGCTACCAAGGAAGTATTATTCGTGATGCAATCAAAAGAAGACATTCTAATGGGGTTCAGTTAATTATTTTATTAATCATAGGTATTATTTTGTCGAACCTTAAATTAATGTTTTGGTTAGGACTATTTTGTCATTTAATTGATATTGAAGCCAAAGTGGGGCTTACATTGTTTCTTAGTTTTTCATTAATGAAATAAAAATTTGTGGAGTTTCTCTTAATTTGATCAATCTATCTTGATATTTTGCATGAACCAATGAGATATTTTTTTGCGTATGAATGTCACGCTTTCCAACTATCACACACATATATATAAAAGCGTATTTGGAAAAGGAAGGAATATGGGACAACGTTAAAAGCATTTTCTTTAGGGAAATATCTTTTTAACGGGGAATCCAAAAAAAAAAAAAAAAAATTCGTGTGAAAAAATAGTAAAACATTAGAATAATCTGATTAATCCAGACGCCAATGACTCAAGCACATTCCATAATAGTGTCTACTCATTATATGATAGTTGATCCGATCAATAAATTGATACCTAGAGAAATCCTTGTAACACGTTAAATCTCAAGTATTGTGCAGAATTTAGTAATACATCTTGTAAACTCTTTAAAAAAAAAAAAAAAACCCTTTGAGTATGTGTGTGTGTCTATATATATATAAAGTATAATATTTTATTGTGATTATTATTAGTAATTTGCATGTTACATAGAGAAAGTATGTTGAATAGGTAGAGATTGGCTTACTTATATGAGCAATCACCTCAAACGTTTTGGGATGTGTTGAGATAAAATAAAGTGATCATATTATTTACGTGATCCAATCGCCTTGATGACGAATCAAGATGAGATTACTATAAGTAATTGAAATGAATTTTTGGGTCCATAGACATGTTTAGCTGCCTATTGAGTTATCAATTGAGATTGCCCATAGGACTACGTATAAGGAGAATTCAAATTAGGAATCGAGGAATGTTTGAATTAACATTTGTTTTGTATATTTATTTTATAGATTATGATGCCTTTAGAAAATGGGTGAAAACACCATAGCACATGTTTCGTATCACATATGCTTTGACAATCAAAGGGGAATGAAATAATATATCCCTCTTCTTTTCATAAGTCGCTGACATTTACATACATAACCTTACTTATATACCCTTATGACTTTTGACCGTTACTCAAGACTTTAATATAATGTTGTTACTTTAGCATATGTTAATGATCATCTATGATTTGATGTTATGTGATATGTCTAGGAAAGTAACTATTTCAAACTTAAGATATTTGAGTAGAAAATGAAGACCATTTTATCGAACACACTTGTGTTAACCGGTTAGACAATTGTGTTAACTATTTGAAATTTTGGACATAACTATGAATGCATATGATGTGTTGTTCAAGTATGTTCTTGGCTAATCGAGGAATCATAAATACTTGAATTAAATGTTAGAAAATAAGTTTATGGTATGACAAGAAATGTTATTTCTCTTGTAGAGTTACTATATGTCCTTAACATTAGTATCCCATTGCATGCTTTAAGTTACTCACGAGTCCCATTATTCAATTGTCCATGCGAACCTTGTTAGTTAGTTCTTTTGTAATACATTAAGTTAAAAAAAAAAACAAAACAAAAACAAAAAGACAAAAGACAAAAAAAGGGGCAAGCGGTGGAACTCAAACAAATCCATTATAAATAACACACTACACACACAAAAGAAAACGGTGCAGAGAAGAAGAAGAAGAGAGAAAAAGAGAAAAAAAAAAAAAAAAAGGAAAAAAAAAAAAGGAAAAAAAAAAAAAAAAAAAAAAAAAAAAAAAAAAAAAAAAAAAAAAAAAAAAAAGGGAAAAGAGAAAGAAAAAGAAGAAAAAAATGGGAAAAATTTGCTAACGTGTTAGGAATTAAGTGTTCTATCCTATTAGGTTTGAATTTCTCAATTTTGAAAGGTAAGGAAAAAGTTATTTATTGAAAGGTTATGTTTGATTTTATAGTTGTTAAATTGTTAAATTAAATTTAATTTTATTGAAGGGGTTAAATATAATAAACTAGGAAATTGAGTAAAATGAAATAAAAACTAGTTTTTAGTAATTAAAGAGATTTTAGAAATCGCCTAAACGTGAAATAATTAAGTTTGGGTATCGCCTATTTAATTATTGAAATTACTTAAATTAGTTAATTGTTGATTTAAAAATTATATTATATTTCAGGTGGCAATACGAATATCGGAACAACGTACCAATCGAGCTGATTTTGGCGTACATAGTTCTGTGAGCGGAAAAATATAAATATTTTTAAGTATTTATAAATTAAGTATAATGTTAAAGTATGTGCAATTATATGTAATTATGTGTTCGAATTAAATTGTTATTATGGAAATCTCTTTTATTATGATACATGTGGAATATCAAAGATTATTTATGGCATATTTGTGAATCAATGTAAGACATGAAATATTGAGATTTGTTTTGTATGTGAAACATGCAATATTGAGATCGGCCAGAAAAGTACCCATGATTATATACTTTTTCTAGTTCACAAAGAGGCATTGGCCGTGTTCTATCCTACACGGAAGGTCTTGACCTGACATTGGTCTTGATTGTGTACATATAGTTCACAGAGGGGTCTTAACCATATTCTAGAATTGATTATGAGAAGTCTTTGAGACCGGCTTTCGTTCACGAAGAGGGCCAAAGGCCTGTGGCGAAAATTCTTAACCCGAGAGGCGAATTATATATTTCAGTCAGAGGTTACATTTTTTGTGAATTTTTCAGCACGTTTGATGTGATGAGATTATAGCATGATTATTAGCTGATGTTATATCATGATTTTAAGATGATAATTTATGACCTTATGTGAATATTTTACTTTTGACTATAATTACATGATGGTAACCTGTGAATTATCAAATGATATAAATTTGAGTTTCAATAAAAATGTATAAATGAAAAAAAGTATATTTATTTTGAACTCCTCCACTCACTGAGCTATCAACTCATATTTTTTCACGTTTTTCCTTATCAGGCAGCAGTTGAGAATTTGGGCATCTTTTGGAGTTGAGCCTTGATTTTGGAGTCAGAGCCACACGACAGAGTTTGTTAGTATGACTCACTTCATAGAACATGTAGTCAATGTTTTGAGACGCATGTTCATGTCTAGATATGATTTTGCATCACATGTAGATAGTTATGGGACTCACTATGTATTTTGTATCTATATGTATATTTCATTTTATTTCTTGGTAAAAGTTGTGATTTTGGCTTATCTTTGTTGTACTGTGCTATAGTTTGGGATTCGTGTGAAATTGATCACGGATTGGTTAGTCTTATTTACAGGGGAGATAATGTCGAAATTCTGTTAAAAAAATGATGTCTAAAAGTAATATATTGTATTTGTAGTAGCCTTGATGGTGAGTCCGACTTTTAGTTGACCTCTATCATCGACGCATACAACGTCCGAATCTAGTGGTGTTACACGGGGCGGGATGTGTCATCTTGAGACAAATTTAATTTATGGTTATTTACTTCAGATCAAGCTTATCATGTGTGAGTGGAATATGTCAAAAATGGATGAGACTACATGTGGTTGAACCAACCATAATGCCTATACAACCAACTCGAAACTTCCATGATTCCCTATATACATTAGAGTGGGAGTTGCATTACATACAAGAAAAAAAGAAATGCATATTTGTATAGAAAAATGCAATACTCGAAAAAAGGCTTGAAATTTTTGTTCTTAGGAAAACAAACATCTTTAAAGGGCATTTGGATTATGGATTAGTTCCATTGCGATTGAATTCAGACCGAAGTGGATACAGGAATCGTGTAGAGAATGAGGCAGTTGATTTAATCTAGTTTTCTTGGGATTTTTTCTTCCTAATTCATGCAAGTTATTTCAAGTTATGATATTTAAAAGCATGCTGTGATGAAGCAATTTCTGTTAATTTGAAGAAAATATTAGATAGAACGTAAAAGAATAATGTTATTTGCGATCACTTACTACCCAGACACCCTAAGTGGCATATATGTTGCGGTTAGTGATTTGTTATATAATATAATTAGAAACTACCACATTAATATTTCAAATCACTGACTACCACATGTATTGCGTATAGGACAACTACAGAATTGAACGACTGCAAATAGCATTACTCAATGCAAAAATCTATAACTAAATTGAAGTTTGACCCAGTTGAAATTTTGCTCAAAAAGCCTTTTACTGGGAAAAAGAATGAATCCTTAGCCATTCTCCCTCCCAATCTTCAAGTCCGATTCCTTTTTCCCCCTTTCCTCCATATCTCACTTGTTCACAGCTCTTAAAAGGACAACAGGCGGCATAAAGAGAACTAACAAGAAAAACAATTTTCTTAATTGAGTATAACTGTCTTGTGTTGAATTTAATGATAATCATGCTACGACACAAGAAATACAAAATTATAAATTGATAAATCGGATTCATATCTGTAAAAGAATGGTTGATATGAATTATAACAACTAGATCTTTTCCTCCTTTTTTTCTACAAAATATTAGCTCTCAATTGGACGAGTTAATAAAAACATGGAAATAAGAGAGGACCTAGCCTTTAAATGAAAAATTGTCAAGCTGTCTCATTACGACTTAAACTCTAATTAAAGTTTCCATATATTTCTGGTCCACGTACTTAAAATTACCTCATCTTATTAAATATAATCCGTAAATTGTAAAACAGCCAAATTGATCATTTAATAAATTTGGTCCAATCACAAATATCATTATGAGCCATACATCCAATCCGTAAAATTTACAATCAAATGTGAAGCCCATATTATAATTATTCCAACATCTTGTAACAATTTTCACATAAAAAGGCTTCATGTTTTCGTTCCCGCTTTTAAGGCTCCACCGAACCTTCTTTCTAACTCCACGATAACAATAGATGAAAAATAAGACTCTTATACGTGCAAATACATTGTATAATCCATTCAGGCCATTCCAAGTATCCAGAAAACCTCTCAAGATTCATCAGAAACCAGCTCTAAATCCCATTCTCTCCCTTAAAACCAGTTTCTTTTCGCATTTTTCGATACATATATACAAGCACACAGACGTAATGGTGGGGGAGTCAAGAAAATGGATGATATTGGTGGCAGGTATCTGGATACAAGCATTTACAGGGACAAATTTTGATTTTTCGTCATACTCGACTAGTTTGAAATCAGTTATGGGCATATCCCAGGTGCAATTGAACTATTTGTCCGTGGCTTCGGACATGGGGAAGGCATTTGGATGGTGTTCAGGGATCTCTCTTTTGTATTTCCCATTGTGGCTTGTTATGTTAATTGCTGCCTTCATGGGACTCATTGGTTATGGTCTGCAATGGCTGGTCATTCAAAAAATCATCGATTTGCCTTATTTTCTGGTTAGTTTTTAATTTATTCTCATTCTTTGATCAACTTGAATCAATATATATTGGAGGCATCAGGCATTCATTTGAAAATGTATTTGTTAAACAAAATTGTAATGTTTTATGCTTATTCAAAGTAATTTCAGCCATTCATTGGATAGTTTTGTGATTTATGAGGTTGTTTTTAAGATTTCTTCTTCTCCATGTTTCTGCGGTTCCTATTTTCTAGAGCAGTAGGTGAATTTGTACCTCACAGTTACAACTACCACAATCATTTGCTTAAAGATAAATCCACCATTGAAATTTGAAAAAATTTTGCAAAGAGAATTAATGTTTTAAGGCCATTCTTGTATCTAGTCGTAAAGGATTAAACTTTCATCCATCTAAGGCGCCCGGAAAAACTTCATTCTCCGAGTATTTTTTTTGGCTTTATATTTCATTTTTAGTTTATGATGATGAAAAGTTGTTAAAACTTAGTGAATAAATTTAGAAATAACCCAACCACCTTTGACTAAATCAAATAGTCAGTTAATATGCCCATTAGGTAACTATCATTTGGATACCGTCAGGTAATCAGTCCACCACCAAATCCATCTGCAAAAAAATTATATTAAAATGTTGGCGATGAATTATTTAGAAGATTTTTGGCATTGGAGTGTGTTTCTGTGTCTTGGTAGTTTGTGCCTCATTAACTTGGTATTGCTATAGGAATTTTGCTTGACCAAATGGTTAGTTTATCAGCTAAATTTTAATCTATAAGTCATGGATAATAATTCAAATAAGAGTCCTCCATCAGTTGAAGATTGCATATACTCGAAGTAGACCAATTTAGAACTTGATGCAGTCTTGTCTTGTACAATCTTACGTATTAGTTAATAGTTATTTTAATGTGATACATATTTGCAGAAAATGGATTGGGTTGGCGGTGGTGGCTGAGGGAGGAACCTTATCAGTGTCTATTCAATTTTATTGCTATGATTCCCTGGGTAGGTAGAGAAAATGCCTTGAGCCAATGTTCGAGCACCAGGCGCTATGGCATTGAAGTAACCCAAGCCATACTGGGAAAAGCTCGAACAATCTTTAAACAAAAGGGTACCAGTACCCAAAACCGACATAGGTGGGTGGGTAGGTAGAGAATACTTATGGAAGTCTAATTATTGCCTTATATCCTATGCCTTTAGTCCTAGATTTTCTAACCAAATTTTGGCATAAATAGCTCAGGCATCCCCTGTTAGCTTATGATATTTCTTGCTAAATTTTGATGATGCATTGAACTTCTGCAGGTATTTCTATTGTGTTTGCTAGCTGGTTGTAGCATTTGCTGGTTTAATACGGTGTGTTACGTTTTGTGCATAAAAAACTTTCCAGCTAACAGGCCACTTGCCTTGTCTCTCAGTCTCAGTTTCAGTGGTCTTAGTGCAGCTCTATATAACCTCATTGTGAATTCTATAAACTCCAATGATGACACACTGTATCTTCTTCTGAATGCCATTGTTCCCCTTATCACATCACTTATCGCTCTTCTTCCAATTGCCCGGCAACATATTCCTGATGCTCTTCCACCTGAAGCTGTCCGTTCTGAGACTGCTATTTTTCTCTATCTAACTGCGCTTGCAGTTGTCACGGGCTTTTATCTTCTACTCATAAATTCCGTTTCACTGAACGTATCAATTGCTCGTATTCTCTTAGGCGGGGCAATGCTTTTCTTAGTCCTTCCGTTGATTACACCTGGCATTCTCTGTGCTCGGGAATGGGCCAGTCGAGCCATCCATTCTAGCTTCAATATGATTAATAATGACGATCTTGATGTGCATACAGAGCTAATGGAAATGGAGACTCCATCCACCGATGACAACTTGTTTAGTATCTCATATAATTTAAAACAGAAAGAAGGAAGCTGCAACAATGTGTTATTCAAAGACAAATTGATGGTGCTTGGAGAGGAACACTCAGTTAGGTTCCTCATTCACCGATGGGATTTCTGGCTTTATTACTTAGCATATTTCTGTGGGGGAACAATTGGGCTGGTTTACAGTAACAATCTAGGCCAAATTTCAGAATCACTAGGATATAATACAGAAGTTAGCACACTGGTTTCTCTCTACTCTGGTTGTTCATTCTTCGGTCGCTTACTTTCTACTACTCCAGACTTCCTACACAAGTAAGTATCCAAACAAACAAATAGCATTCTGAATACAATGCTTTGTGCAGTTACTAAATGTGTTCATTATCCAGAAAGGTTTGCTATGCAAGAACCGGATGGCTTGCCTTAGCCCTTATTCCAACAACAATTGCATTCTTTCTGCTATCTTTATCAGGAAGCAAGATAGCACTAATTATTGCCACAGCCTTGATTGGACTAAGTTCGGGTTTCGTTTTTTCAGTCGCAGTGTCAATCACATCAGAGCTGTTTGGCCATAACAGTGTCGGAGTTAATCACAATATTCTAATAACAAACATCCCTCTAGGATCTATACTCTATGGTCTTCTTGCGGCTCTTGTGTACGAAGGAAATATAGGAAACTCACAGGAAGCTGTTCTGAAGGATGGGAGGATGGTATGCATGGGAAGGAATTGTTACTTTGAGACATTTGTATGGTGGGGGTTCATCTCTTTGTTCGGTTTAGCTTCTAGTTCACTTCTTTTCCTTAGAACTAAAGCAGGATACGAGCGCTCCACAAAATGTAAACAAAAAACTAGTTTTGAATTGTTAACATATGAATGAAGTCGGATTTGTAAGATAGAGAAAAGGCAGGTGAGAAGAGAAGATGATAGGCCTGATTTAGGGAATGATTCTCATTGTATAGCCTATTCTCGAACTGTGATTTATAAGCGATATGATATAGGGAAAACATGTAGAGCTATTATAAGCAGAGAACTTTGTACGAATTTATGGAGTGTAACATATCCTTTTCAGATAAAAGACAGCATATAGCTTTCGAAATTATTCAATTTAAACATAAGACTGGAAAACCACCTGATTCTTATCCGTTCAGTGGTTTCTTCTATAAGTTTGCTTGACTGGCAGATTATTTTTCACTCGAACATACTAATTATAACAAGTTAAAGTACTTTTTCAGGGAAAAAATTCCAATTTAGGACACGGGTATATAATCATCAGTTCAATCCTATTTAGCTATGAGCTCAGCTAAGTTCTTACTAAGATAACAGAGAGATTCAAATCGATGTACTATCCATCCATCACAGAGTTCTTTTGAATAACTAGTAAAAGTTGTACATAAATGAGACATTTAATTCGATCACATCCAGATACTTGTTAGTGGAGCTCGTTCCAATGAGTCTAATCGAGCACGATTGGAGCATCTGATGTCTTACCACGAGAATTGACCTTTGTTAACAATTCAGGTGGCAAATCACCCCTCAGGATATGAACTTTGAACCTGAGGTTTGTACGGCTGCATTCCATTAGTTCAAAGACACAAGCATCTCCAATCTTGAGTTCATTTTCTAGGACAAATGCTTTCCAATTGCTGTCAAACCTCGGTAGGCCGCAGTCTCCAATGTAAGACATGTTCCAGTTCTTGCCACCATGTCTGAGAACTACTCCAACTCTTGCACTGGGCAGCAGCGAAATGAATTTGGCGGGGGGACGCTGTCAGCATTAAACGAATATGAATAAACAACAAATCATGGAGCCCTTTCAGATGATTCAAATGACAACAAACATAATGGAAATAAGAGTATTTACGAATTGAAAGGGGCGGTTGACATGTGATTTTGTCATAACCAGATGGAAAAACGGCTTCCCGGAAAGGTAATGAATGTCATCCTCTTCCATTTGAGCATGCAGCAATGGCTCTGTCTAATCAAAATTAAAAAGATGTTATAGCAATATTCTAGCAAGGATCACTGCACTTGGCAAGAGACGTTGGGCAGAAAAATTTGAACAACTCCATATACAGAAAAGCAAAGAATACCTTGATAACAGGAAGAGATTGAAAACAAGTTTAACGCAAACAAAAGAAAAAGAGGTGCAAGCAGAAGATGGGTTATTCTTAAAGTTTAAAAAGCAAAAAGGGACCATTACTGCTCATGTGTAAATTCATTTTCTTTGCAGACTGCAGAGTGCAGGCATTCATAAGTTTGACCAGTGCAATTCCATACCATTCTCTCAAAGATTTCAGAGTGTAAATTGAAATTCTATTTTTGTACAAGAGAAAATTAATATCAGTTTACGACATTTAGGGAACACATTGATACATTTGGAAGTGTTTCCTAAATGTGCTAATAATTAATACAATGTACTTTTTATCAATTAATGGAATATTGAATGTAACAGGAAAAATATTGAGGATATAAATGCGATAATTACAATAAAATAATATGAAAATAAATTAGTTGGCAGACATGAAAATTTCATCATTTTTCATCTTACTGTGAGGAAAGAAAAATATAAAAAGAAGAAGATGGAGATGAAAAATGTATGTTTCATGAAATGAACACGATTAAGAAATTGAAGGATTAAATTGATAATCAAGAAAAGTTGAACGATGGATTTTACATTATTAATAGTAATGTAAAATGCATCCTTTGACTTTTTAAGATCGTCAATTTAATCCTTCAACTTCTTCATAATGTTACTTTTATCCTTCAGCGTTTCAATATTGACATATCCTCAATTCATCCTCAAGCTACTTAATAATGTGAAATATATCCTTCAACTTTTCAAGATCATCAATTTAATCCTTCAAGCCCTTGATAATGTAAATATCTTCATTTAACTTTTCAGTATTTACAATTTCATCCCCAAACTATTTAATAATGTAACTAAAATCCATTGAACATAGATCCAATTTTTCAATTTTTTGAATTCCTCGGAATTTGATTTTCCTGTTCCTGGCAATATCAAAATGTCACGATGTCGAGATATAATGTCTGGCTCTGCAGAAAAATTGATATCTCCAAAGAAGATTATAAGTTCAATTCTTTTGTTCCCTCTCCACTCGAACAAACAGCCAACGACTCCTTATATTTAAAGTAATTTGTAGAGACTATTGTTCTATACCGTTATGGAAGAAGATTCGGGTAAGTTATGCACTCCTCGAGAATTTAAAAAATAATAATAATAACGATCTACTTTCATTTTGTATTTTGCCTAAATGCCTTGACTCTTGATACTCAATCAAATCCCTTATTATTATTATTTTTTAATGATTAAATGCACTTTTATAGTACCATATTTAGTAATGCTCGAACTCTTTCTTCTGTATCGAAAATCATCCAAATAAGCAAGAATATTATTCCTACAAAAAATGCCATTTGAATGGGGGGTTCAATTAAGATATCTGAACGGAGCATTAGTTCATTCTCACGTTCTTGAATCGATTGTAGTGGAATGATGAATCTATTCCCCCACCTCTTCTGAGAATAAATCAGAATTCTTGTGAAGAATGATCGGATATATGAGATTACAATGACCATTATGTATAATATAGTTAAGGCTTGAATAATCAGAAATCCTATTTTGGGTTTACCATAAAAACATGACTAAGGAACTTTTGTCTTCCCGAATCATTAGTTTCCGAGAGGTTAAAAGTATCTCTTCACTTAACAGAATGAGAATGTGCATTTATTTGATCTTGATCCTTATGGAGCAAAAGTCAGACTAGACTAGATCGGCATTCAATATCCTCAATTTCATAATCAAACTATTAAATAATGTAAAATCCATGCTTCAACTTTTCTAGATCCTTAATTTAATCCTTCAACTTCTTAATAATGCAGATATCATCCTTTTAACTTCAAACTACTTAATAACGTAAAGTTCATGCTACAACTTTTCTAGATCCTCCATTTACTCTTTCAACTTCTCAATAATGCAATTTCATCCTTTAACTTTCATATATCCTCATTTCCATAATCAAATAATTTAATAACGTAAAAAAACTACTTCAACTTTTCTAGATCCCCAATTTAATCCTTCAACTTCTTAAAAATGCAAATTCCATCCTTTAACTTTCATATATCCTCATTTCCATAATCAAATAATTTAATAACGTAAAAAAACTACTTCAACTTTTCTAGATCCCCAATTTAATCCTTCAACTTCTTAAAAATGCAAATTCCATCCTTTAACTTTCATATATCCTCATTTTCAAGATCAAACTACTTAATAACGTAAAATCCATTCTTCAACTTTTCAGATCCGCAATTTAATCCTTCAACTTTTTTCATCCTCTAACTTTTCAGTATCCTCAATTTCGTCTTCAAACTATTTGATAATGTAACTTTTCTAGATCTTCGATTTAATCCTTTAACTTTTTAATGTTAATTTCCTCATTTAATTTTTCAATAACCTCATTTTCATTTTCAAACTATTTAATAACGTAAAATTCATCTTTCAACCTTTCTAGATTATCATTTTTGTCCTTCAATTTCTAAGAATGTTAAAATTCATCCTTGAACTTTGCAATATCCCCAATTTCATCCTTCAACTTTTCAATTTCCTCAATTTCATCCTTTAACTTCTCAATGATGTGAATTTCATTCTTTAACTTTACAATATCCTCAATTTCATACTCAAACTTAGGCTTTGGCATGGTTCGGTTCTGGTTGGTTTTAAAGCCAACCCGAAATTGAAACTAACTTGGTCAGTTTGGGTAAACTCCAATCGAAACCAACCCAATTTAGCTTTTGAAATCAAACCAAACCTAGTCGGTTTGATTCGGTTTAGTTTGGTTAATGGGTTTAGGCATTGGTACGAATTAAAAAAAAAAAATGTCTACCTATTTTAGGAAATTTGTTTGCCTATCTAAAAAAATTATATTTGTGTTTTTATTATTTTATTTTTTAAGTTTGAAAATATGAATTTAAAAAAAAAATGTATTAGCAGGTTGGATCGATTAATTGATTAGTTTGTTGCTTAAACCACAACCAACTTGACATGACTTTTTAATGGTTTTAAATTAACCAAATCAAATCGATTTTTTGGTTCAAACCAACCCAAACCGACTGACTCGATTTGATTTGATCGACTTGGTCGATTTTTTAATTCTTTTGCCCACCCCTACTCAGCCTATTTAATAATGTGAAATTCATCCTTCAACTTTTCTAGACTGTCAATTAATTCAACTTCTCAATTATGTTAATTTCATCAAAACCAACCCTGAACTTTTCTAGATCTTCAATTAATCCTTCAACTTCTTAATAACGTTAATTTCCTCATTTAACTTTTCAATATCCTCATTTTCATCCTCAAACTATTTAATAATGTAAAATACATCCATAAACTTTTCTAGATTATCAATATAATCCTTCAAATTCTCATAATGTTAAAATCATCCTTCACATTTTCAATATCCTCAATTTCATCTTTCAACTTTTCAATATCATCAATTTTATCCTTCAACTTCTTAATAATATTAATTTCATCCTTTTACTTCTTTATATCCTTGTTTTCGTCCTCGAAAAGTTACTAATATGAAATCCATTCTTCAACTTTTCTAGATCGTTAATCTAATCCTTCAACTTCTTATAATGTTAATTTCATCCTTCAACTTTTCAATATCCTCATTTTCATCCTTCAACTTTCAATTTCCTCAATTTCATCCTTCAACTTCTCAATGATGTGAATTTCACACTTTAACTTTGCAAAATTCTCAATTTCTTCCTCAAACTATTTAATAATGTGAAGTCAATCCTTCAACTTTTCTAGACCATCAATTTAGTTCTTCAACTTCTCAGTTATTTTAATTTCATCCTTTAACTTTACAATATCCTCAATTTCATACTCAAACTTAGGCTTTGGCATGGTTCGGTTCTGGTTGGTTTTAAAGCCAACCCGAAATTGAAACTAACTTGGTCAGTTTGGGTAAACTCCAATCGAAACCAACCCAATTTAGCTTTTGAAATCAAACCAAACCTAGTCGGTTTGATTCGGTTTAGTTTGGTTAATGGGTTTAGGCATTGGTACGAATTAAAAAAAAAAAATGTCTACCTATTTTAGGAAATTTGTTTGCCTATCTAAAAAAATTATATTTGTGTTTTTATTATTTTATTTTTTAAGTTTGAAAATATGAATTTTAAAAAAAAATGTATTAGCAGGTTGGATCGATTAATTGATTAGTTTGTTGCTTAAACCACAACCAACTTGACATGACTTTTTAATGGTTTTAAATTAACCAAATCAAATCGATTTTTTGGTTCAAACCAACCCAAACCGACTGACTCGATTTGATTTGATCGACTTGGTCGATTTTTTAATTCTTTTGCCCACCCCTACTCAGCCTATTTAATAATGTGAAATTCATCCTTCAACTTTTCTAGACTGTCAATTAATTCAACTTCTCAATTATGTTAATTTCATCAAAACCAACCCTGAACTTTTCTAGATCTTCAATTAATCCTTCAACTTCTTAATAACGTTAATTTCCTCATTTAACTTTTCAATATCCTCATTTTCATCCTCAAACTATTTAATAATGTAAAATACATCCATAAACTTTTCTAGATTATCAATATAATCCTTCAAATTCTCATAATGTTAAAATCATCCTTCACATTTTCAATATCCTCAATTTCATCTTTCAACTTTTCAATATCATCAATTTTATCCTTCAACTTCTTAATAATATTAATTTCATCCTTTTACTTCTTTATATCCTTGTTTTCGTCCTCGAAAAGTTACTAATATGAAATCCATTCTTCAACTTTTCTAGATCGTTAATCTAATCCTTCAACTTCTTATAATGTTAATTTCATCCTTCAACTTTTCAATATCCTCATTTTCATCCTTCAACTTTCAATTTCCTCAATTTCATCCTTCAACTTCTCAATGATGTGAATTTCACACTTTAACTTTGC